GGCTTTTGTTAGTCCCCCCTCACACACACCTGCCACCCCCCAATGATATGCCACCCAGAATACCACCTCAGTTTGCCTCATTATGGGGATGCCCCTGTAGTGCGGGGGGCTCCAGGGGACTGATCGCCTGGTGAGGGGGGCTAAACCTAAAGTCGGCCTTTAACAATAAATAAATATGTAAATATTTGAATGTCTTCAGCCTGGGCCACGGTTCTGTAGTAAATGAAATATGGAAGCTGTTGGCTTCCTTCTGAAAATGCTAATTGCCTGGCTATCAATACTTTCAGGTATAGGGGCTTATGACCCGATGAGTCAGATTAAAGTCAGAATTTCTTTTCTTCTGGGTCATGGACTCAGAAAGTATTGTAATGAATGCCAAGCAATTTTTGGAAGGAGTGATTGCCAGTGGCAGCCAACATATTTCTTTTATGACAGGTCAGGCACAGAGACAGATAGGGGCAGCTGATTTGCATATTTGCTGCCCTCCCACCTCGAGGAACAGAGAGCTCCAAACAGCTCTTCCATTAAAGTAGTATTAAACTCTAATTTTTTCAATAATGAATCCAGATCAAACAAATATACATTGCCCAGCAAAATATTTCTACATTTCTGGCCAAACAATTAGGCCCTGTTCACACCAGGGCAGTTCGGTCGCGCACATTTTTTCACGCTGAACTGCCAACAGTAAAAGGCACATGAAATCCTATGGGGCACACGCATGTTTCAATCCACCTGCCGCCCAAACTGCTCCCTGAGCTACTTTTTCAGAGTTGATTGGCGCGTTTTCCAAAGTCCACGTAGCGTTCAATGGAAACGTGCTGATCAGCGTTAAAGACGCCCTTTCAAAAATCGTGCTGAACCGCTGCTACCCTGGTGTGAATAGGGCCTTACAGTCATCATGTTTCTATTAAACAGCTCCATCTCTCTCATTTCAACTTCCCTGAACTTCCTGTCCAGTGCAAGATCACAAGGGACAGAGCAGTCTGCAGTAGCCATCCATCTACTAGCCTGGAAGAGGAAGGAAAGAAGAGCAAGGACCGGGGAAGTGGAAGTGTTTTGCCTTGCTGTGCTTGTGGACCAGCGCACACAATGGTGGCTCCATAGGCCCCTGCAAGGGAAAGCAGTCACAATAAAACAAGATATCAGGCTCAGTGCTCAGGGGACCAGCTGATAAAACTAAACCATTAAAACATAAAGGAGCAACATCCATTGTGCGCACTTTAATTAGCATTTGAAAATCTTAAAATACTTTTTGACTTTAACATCATTTTAAAGCACATCTAGAGCCAGACATCCCAACCTGCAAAACCTTATTTTAGGGAGGTTCCTGTCTCATTTCAGGGAGGTGCCCTTTCTTATTTTATTTTTTTTACAGCGGGCGTCGTCAGAATATAAAAGAAATAATAATGATAATAATA